ATCGATGGGTACCCAAACTTATTGAGCTTTTTTATTTAATTATTTTAATTTAGTTTTTTAATTCTTGATAATTAGTTTCTATACTTACCAATAAATCAAAATGCAAACCGATGCTATAGATGTACAAGTATAAATAAAACCAAAACTTTTTGAAATAAACACAATACAATGAAATAATTTGTTATCAATGATATTTTTATTACTGGCAATATATTTATATAACAATTGAATTATTTTGTTATGATTTGCAAAAATTTATTTTGTATTTGTCAAATTTATAACTCAAATATTTATTTATATATAATATATATATATATATGTATAAATGAAAAATGAAATTAAATAATGACATTCATCAAATGTATTTTAATTAATATAAGTATTTTTTGTTTTTATATAATTTTATTTTAAATTTAAGTAATGGAAGTAAAAATAGCGAAATACTGTATATGAGAATTGAATTAAAACATGTTTTTTGTCTGTTTTTTAATGTGTGGAGAATTTATATCAAACATTACACACGAGAGAGAATTATAGAGAATTGAGAATAAAAAGTCATTTATCAGGGCAAAAGGTTTTTTGCATTTATATATCATTTCAAAGTTTTCACTTTTTTGTATGTTTCCAAAATCAATACTTTTTTCAAAAAACTTATAATTATTATATAATATTTATATATAATAATGATAATAATAATCATACAATTGAATCAGAAATACATTTTGTTTGATAATATATTATGATATAAGAAAAAGGTATACATTATTATTGATTGGATTGTGGTGTTCGTTATCAGCGATTAAATTGTTTGTCAATTAATTTTAAAAACTTGCTTTTATTCTCATTTTAATTTATAATTTGTTATCAAATGGAGAAAATGGGACACAACAGCAATGAGCAGAATATTAATATATTATAATATATATATTCATATATTTAATTAATTATTATTATAACTTATATATCATATAACAGACACTTCGAGAGCGACGACACGATTTGGTATTTTTTCATAATAATAATAATCAGATTAATAATAATAATAATATTCTTTGTTTTTTGGTTGTATTTTATTTGGTGTACACTTTACATAATATTATGAATTTGTGTGTGTTTTTCGTATTTTCAAATATTGTTTTATCCAGAAAACTTATTTTTTAATTTTGTTGAAACACTTGTGTTTGTTGTTTTCAAGATTTATTTTTTGTTGATAATAAGGCAACGGGTATTATATAATAATAATAATAATAATCATTAATCAGTCAATCAATTAATAATAATTAATAATCAATAATTAATAATTGAATTGAGAAATAATAAGTGAAAGAATGACAAATATGAAGGCAAGCTCCAAATGTATCACACAATTGTCAAGTCCAATATATATCATTGAATCATATTGGTTTTTCCATAATGACCAAGGTATCTAATAAATTGAAATGTTTCTCAACGATTTTCAATTTGTTTGTTGCACACATTATGTTACATTATATATATATCAGACTTTTTTTCAAATTATGACTTGGATTTGAATTTATAATATTTAACATTAAGAATATTCTTGATTTGTTTTTTAGCACAAAATGGTTGAGAGATTTATAAAGTTGTTTTTACAATTTTGGTTTATTTCTTATGTGAATATCAATAAATAGAAAATTATAACTAATTTTCACAATTGTTTTGACACTGTTTATGAAATCTTTTTTGGTAATATTCCTCATCCATTACAATTCATTGTTTTGCAAAACTTATTTATTATTTGTATTTCAATAGTAATAATAAGTGTCTAAAAAATGGTATACGAAATCATAATAATTTTAGTGCACTGTTATATTACTGTCACAAATACTATTGCTAAAAGCTTTTTATGTAATATTGTATTTTTAATAATAAAAACAAATGGTTTTCAATATACATTTTCTGATGTATTTTAAGCAATATTTTTATTGATTGGATTAGAAAAACAAACTTTTGTTTCAATCGTCGCTTATTTGATAATTATTACATTTTTTCGTATCAATAATAACCGGATAAAAAGGGGGAGAATAGAGAAAAAGCACTGTTTATATCTAAATGTAATTACACATGTGTTATATAATCGGAAACATATAATGAATTATGACAAATAAAAATTATAATAATTATCTTAAATATTAATTTACAATTGCATTTTTCAATAGAAAAAAAACTTAATACTGAATAAATTATAGACAAATATAAATCTAACACTTATATTAAAATTCAATTTAAATGACAAAAAATGAATTTTCCGTACAATTACTAATCATTAAAAATTGTTTTTCATATCTAATTGGCGAATAATATCTACCCATATGTCGGGTGAAAACAACACAACCGGGAAATTATATTAAATTATACGTAAAAAACTTTTCAATTATTTTCAATCATTTTGATAAGTCTTTATATAACAAACACAATTTATTTTCGAGCAAATATTATTCAATTATGGTTTTTGTCAATTTGTTTTATATATTTAATTAAATAATTTCTATAATAATATTTATTTATTATTATTGTTTTATTTCTCATAATTTAAAACGAGGACTGAAAAAATTGTACAAAAGTATCAATCAATTTCATTTTTGATCGACTTTCAAATATCAATGTATTTTTGTTGAGTGCGCTTAACATATGATAGCAAAAAACACATTACATATCAATTTATAATCAAATTATGATTGACTTTGGGTTCGCTTTTTTTAAATATCCAATTAATTTTCATAGCAATCATAATAATTAATAAAATTTAATTACAGCCCAACTTTGTTGGCATTTATAATATATATTTATATATTTATAAGTTATTGTTAATCGTAAATATTTTTAATGATTGGCGAAAATGGTTTCATTCAATTATTTAACTTAATTGCTCAAAATCTACTTAACAAGTTGTCAATCAAACGGTGACTTTCCCTTACAGTGCAAACTGTATATAATTATTCTGTATTTTACATATTATTTATAATATCAATACAAATATAAAATAATTATTTATTGTATTTATATTAAAAACATTTTTGTTTTGTCAAATTGAGTGCCTATTACTTATTAATTTAAATGTATGTCTGTCCTAATAAAGCACCGGACTATCCGTCTCTCTCTTTCAGTTCACTTGAATATACATTTCTTGTATAAATGGTATCCTATTATCGATTCCTAATTCAGGGCCTTATCTACAACACACTGACCAATAGATTGCTTTTTTATGTGTCTTTATGTCATAAATAATAATTATTTGAGTCTTTTATCTCGTATTTGGAAATTATTACATAATATATTATTAATTCAACCACAAAGTGATTACTGAAATGCGATCGCAATTTATTTATTCAAATAAATCCCGTCTCACTCTCTCTTTCATGTATATAATCGCAAATCATTTTGTATTTTATTTTATTGTTTTCGGGGAAATAGAAAAATCTTTGGCTTCGATATATTGAACGCATAATAATATAAATGTGTTTTGAATATAAATTACTGAATCAATAACTTATATCGTGTTTTGACCGCTTTATGCATGTATTTTGAATGAGTAATAAAAATAAGTCGAAACGATAAGACAAAGTGAGCGATAGATTATGAGGTCCTCGCAAATGGCATACAGTTTCCCGATAGAGTGTCTGTGTTTTGGATGCACCGGATATTTATGTTTATGTCCCGTATATTAAAGCTTTTGTTAAATAAAATACTCCTTTTTGTGTCCCAATAATGAGCGAATAAAATGGGGAAAAAATACATTCAATTCTTGGGATAAAAAGATTTATAAATATAGAAAACGAGAGGAAAAATATATCTGTTTTTTTGTAGCGTATAATTGGGAAGTCTTTTACGCAGAAAAATACCCCCAAAAAAGTGTTGGCCATTGAGTTTGAGGGAAAGAATTTGACACAAAAGAAGAGTTTGTTTTTTGTTGTCTCATAAGAATCTAATGAAGCGATTAGTGGCAGAAGAAGAGGACACATGAGAAAAGACTAGAAGAAGAAGACTCGCGGACCGTATATTGAAATCATGTAAAGCGTCGACTAGTGTTTGGTGTATATTATCTGAATAACAGTAAAACCACTGTTTGTCTCATTAATTGATTGATTGGTTGTCATTGCCCTCAAACGCTACTCATGCGAACCAATGCCTTATAATTTATACAATCATTTTTGGGGAAAGTTTTTCATAAGCTTTCAATTTGGGAACTAAACGCTAATTTTGTGTTAATAATGTGTATTTTTTGTGGTATTGTCTGTTGTTTGTGTGTAATGTCTAATAATTATCATAACTAACACTATGGTATTGCACTCATAAGTAGAAAACATTTTTTTTCAAATAATTCAAAAAACATATACAGAGAAACACTTGATTTTTTCAACACCTATTCTCCAAATTAATTATTATAATGGTTTGCTGTGTGTGTTGTATCACCAGATCATTACTCTAATAATATCATAATTCTCAAGAAAAAACTTCAAAATTCAAAATCTACTACAATATACAATATTATATTATAATATACATATGAAATGTATAATAAAAGTTATACAACTAACGGAAAAAATATTATCATTTGAAAACATACAAATTTTTATTAAGATTAGTACATTAATTAATTAATTATTTTTTACGTTTTTTATAACACATTTTTACAAAGCAAAAAAATTTATTAGTTTTACTTATTGCTAGACATGTTATGTAAAATTTATAGTTTCAAAAAATTTGAATTTTAACTAAACAATACATTTTAAGTTCGGAAGTAATTTTACTAGCAGTCATAACAGATTAATTTCCCATTTTTAGAGAAATTAAGTATTATTTTGTTTATTTTAAATGCCAACAAATGGAGGAAAACTTATTTTATGAGAAAAAAATTCATTGTGGCTTACATTCGCTTCATGTTGATATACAGGGTAATTTACAAACAAATAAAAGTACTGGTACACATTGTGTGAATATGTATTGGCAATTAAGTATATCACATTAATTGACAAAAAACCCCAACACCTTTTTTAAATACCACATATCGTATCGTATTATATAATTATAAATAAAAATTAATTTTCAAATCATATGTCAATTTACACACTGTTTTTGCTGTGTATTCATCATTATTACTGTATTTTTGTTAAATATCACTTTTGGACTCTGAATGTAAGTTCTCATTGAAACCAATATTCATTTTCCTTCAATTCATATCCAGAACTTCTGGCGAAATAAATAGACAAAAGAAAATAATGTTCTTCTGATCAGATATAATGAGCTTTAAGGCCACTCATCACTATTACACCGGGAGAAAAGCACTTGGACTTTATCGGAGACACTTTCGCTGCCCTATTGTCTGTGTTTCATAATATTTTGTTTGTCTGCTCAGTGAAGACTCGCAATCAAATCCAAGACTATATTCCGTTATTGTTTTCAATAATGTATTTATAATTTAAATGTATTTATTTAAGTGTTTTTTGTTTTAAAAACTGCATAAATAGATAATTAATTGTAAAAACTAAACGCAACTCTTATGGTAGAAATCAATGTATGGTTTGGTTTTTATGTGGTTTATGTCAACCCATTGATCGCAGCATTCATTTTGGCATTTCGTTTAGCACTCAATCCTATTGAACGCACTCTTCTAAGACGTTGTCGTCGTTAATGCCACTGATTTTGGCCGAAACGGGTCTCACTTCGTCCTCATCCATGTCGTCGTCATCCCAGCCCTCCTCGTCCTCCTCCAGCGACTTCTCGAGTCGTTTGATATTGTTTTCCCTTTCGTTTCCATTGTTTTTTGCATCACTTTTTGTACGGAAGTTGTGTTCAGCGAAGGCGGCCGTCGGCTCCACGCGAACAGTGCTGTCGTTGTCGTAGTCTAACGAACCCCTCCTCCGCTTCCTCATGAGGTCGGCCTCAGTGGGCTGTCGGACGCACACGCCGTTTATGACTTCGTCCCGGCGCTGCACCAGATCGTAGGCGTCGTCGTCGTCCTCGTCGTCCATCATATCATCACTTATGCCGTCGTAATCGTCGTCCTCATCACCGGAGAACTCGAGTCCCGGGTCCACCCACTGGGGCTGAGCCGGTTTGCGCCGGGAGCTCGAACTGGTCACGTGCTGTGGCTTTCGGCGACTGCTGCCGATAGGTCTGGAAGTCTTGCTTAAGTCGAGTTCAACGGACTCGTCGCCAGAGGCGTCGCTCAGGCCGTCCGAGTCGTCGTTCAATGACATCGAGTGTCGGTTTAAGTCTTTGCTGTGCTGTTGATGACTAGTAGTCATACTTAGATCAAGAGTTCCCATCTCGTCCTCCGGGAGCGACGATCCCGGAGATGAGCAGCTGTTGGTGTTTGCATACAAGTGCGACCCGACGGGTGACGTCGCGTAGAGACTCGAGTACTTGGATCTGTGCGACGGCGACAAACCGCCGACACCACCGCTGGCGCTGTGCACTCGGATGTCGGCCAACCGTTGCGACAACAGTAGCCGGAACTGAATCGGATCAAAGTTGACGCCATCTCTGCCTATATTGTACGGCAATTGGGAGCCGGCGTTCGAGCCGTTGTTGTCGTCGCCGGCCGACGAGATCTGCTTCAGACGCATGCGATGGTTGTGAAACCAATTGGTGATTGTGCGCAACGATAGGTTCAGTTCGGTGGCCAAGAACTCGATGGTTGTGGTGCTGGGGTACGGGTCCATCGAGAAGGCCACCCGAAGCGCCTCCTTCTGCTCCTCGGAGAACAGGATTCGCGCCTTTTTGGCGGCGGGCGAGCCGTAGGCCGTGCGACCGCCGCCTCCGCCGCCCATCAGCGCCTTCGACGACGAGTGAGACAAAGAGTTTGGCGACGAATTGAAGTTCGAGAAGTTGTAGATATTGTCGGCCATCGGTTTGATGCCACCGATGGCGTCCTCCAAGTGAGTTCGTCGCCGTTTGTTGGCCTCTCGTCTCTCGTTCTTCAATGTCTGCAGTTTCTCGATGTTATGCGAGTCGTTAAGCCATAACTGCATTCGTATGAACGGCTCCCGGCCTTTGATGCTCAGCATATGCCACGGCTTGGGTTTGGACAGCAGTTCGCTGACCGAGCCTTGAGATAAGCCGAGCACTACTTCGCCGAAGATCTGCGCAGAAAACGAAAAAGTTTCGTTAGTTTTGCAACCATTACAGGACTGGTATGTGAGTGGGTGTCTGACAAACCTTTTGGCCAATATTGTGTGCCATCAGAGTCTCCTTAATCTTAGTGGTGATACTTTGTGTGTCGAGATCAGTGGTGAGCGCCGCCATCTCATAGACCGATGGCTGTATGTATGCGAGCGATGAGGATGTGCTGCGACTGTAGTTGGAGTTCGTATGAGTGCTGAGCGGTTGGTTGAGACGACGGGAGGAGGAGATGGCGTTCGATGTCGAGAGCGATGAGTGAATGGCAGTCGCGGCTGAGCCGATGATGTGGTGCTCGGGTGTGGAAGTACTGGACCGGTGGCCGGCAGTGTCTGAGAAGCCCGGGCTTATCGATTGCCGGCACGTGTCGGACGCCTTCACGGGCGACATCTCTTGAGCCTTAAAACCCGTCGACTTAATGGCCGCTATCGATGAGCCGGAGTTAATCGACACGGGATTGATGGACTCGTGGCGCGGGGTCACCGCCGGACTTATGGCGGGGCCGGTGGGTCCGGCCACGAAGCTGCCGGTTCTCATAAGCTTCTCGGGCGCTATCTTGTACTGAGAGGCCACCAGCTTATGAATGGCGTTCTCGTCCTCTAAGAACATCTTCATGCGGATGAACGGCTCGCGTCCCTTCTGCGTCAACATATGCCAGGGCTTGGGCCGGGCCAACAGGTCGGACACCGAGCCCTGGGACAGGCCTAACACGCTCTCGCCGAACAATCGTTGACTAATTGAGTATTGACTTAACTGTTCCTTCACTCTCTTGACGATGTCTTCGGTGTTCAGATTGTTGTACTGATCGAACTGCTGCTGAGTGATGGGCGGCAGCACCGCTTTGGCCGGTCTGTTGGGAGTGTTCGGCACCGACGGTATGGCCGATTGGGACAGAAGTGAGTTCGTAATGGATTGCATGCGTTGGAGGGGCGACGCGGCGGAGCTCAGGTCTTCCACGGAGTTCATGTCAACGCTATTGCTGTGGTTAAGTATAGAGCCGTTCTGTGGGCCGCCGCCCATCGGAGGCGTCGACGAGTAGGGCTTGTTATGGCCGCTACCGATGTCCGGCTTCGGCCTCACGAGAGAGAAGGCACTCGAATGGCGCGCATCCGTCTCCGAGGACGACGACGATGAGCCGAACGCGTCGCGCGGCTCGCGAGTGCCGCCCCCGCCGTTCGTCTGCTTCTCGGCGCGCATCCGGACGTCCAGCGGAAGCGACGACGGGTCCAGCAGATGAGGTAAACTGAGATAATTGGATCCATTGACCAGACCTGCGGCCGCCGCCGCAGACGCCGCCGTGAATCGGGCGAACAGCTCTGAATTGGCGACACTCGGCGAGTGAGAGCGGCCGCCACCGGCTCCTCCGGCCGAAGCCATTTGCGTCAACCGCGACAACTCCTGGTGATAGATGGCCAGCGCCTGTCGCACCTCGTCCTGCGTGCGGTCGTAGCTCTGGGGGTGTCGGAAGCCCTCCTCCACCTGTTGGCCAATGAGTTTCGCCAACTCTTCCTGATAGATGCGGGCGACCATATCCTGCGGGATGTCGTCGTTCTCGAACTTCCGGAGCACTCGTCGGGCGTTATCTGCGGCCGACCCGCGCCCGTACAGCGACGACGCCAACGACGGCGACCGGACGTCTCTCTTGTCCTCGCGATCGCTAGTGTCGCTGTTGGCGTCGTTTTGGCTGTCAATGTACTTCTCGCACTTGATTTGAATGGCGTCGCCGTTGAGCAACGGTGTGGCGCCGCCTCGGCTGCCGTTCTTGTTGGGCGAGACCATCGCCCGCTGAGCCTCGCTTAGTATCTGAGCGATGCGCTCTTCGGCCGCCGGGTCCTCCTGTTTGTATGTCGTCGCCTCTTTGCCTGTCATTCAAACACAAAAGAAATCAATTATTGAGTTTTGTTGCCCGCCATCAGTAAAGGGTCTCACAATTCTTGGTCAGATAATCACCTTTTCTGGGGACCATTCCTTTCAGAAAGTATATACACCGGTCGTCGGCAGCCCAGGCGTGCATTTTGCGGTACGAATCCCTGCCCTTTTCGGTCAACTTGTCCCACGGCTTGGGTTTGGAAAGCAGTTCGCTGACAGTGCCCTGCGATAAGCCCAACACGTATTTGGCGAACAGTCGCTGTCCGATGTTGTGGACGGACAGCAGCTCCCGGACGCAGCGCGAGATGTTCAGCGTATTCAGCGTTTCGTTCATATATTTCTCGACATTGACTCTCAATTGTTGCTGAAGTTTATCATATTGTGCTCCGATTGACACCTCAGGTGAGCCCCGGGTGTTGAGACTGCCGGCGCCGCTAATGCTAATATCAATGCTGGCCGGACTGCCTCCGCCGCCACCGCCACCGCCGGAGCGGTGGTTCATCGCAGGCTCGTCGTTACACCTGTCCATTATGGCGCTGGTGCTGGTGGGTGTGCCTACGCTGCCGGTCGACTTGGCATCGGCCTCGTCGTTGGATGTGGGCGGGGGTGACGGCGAACCGGTCGCCTGGTTTGAACTGTTCTGGTCTGCGCTGTGCTGGTGAGCGGCCAACAGCGCCTCCCGGTGTTTGAAGGCCTTGGCGTACGAGTTGACGATCTCCTCGCCCAGCATAGAGCCGAACGTCTCGACGTTGCCGAGGCTCTGGTAGGGCGGCATAAACGGCGGTATCAGATGCCGGGGCAACGAGTGGCCCAACTCCTGGTTGGCCGCCTTCAGCGCAACGTTTTCCGTCTGAAGCGCTTTCGTCTTCTCGAGTAAATACATCTCAAAGGGCTTGTGGTCGCGCAGTGCCGTCGACCCGATTTGGCCCAACTCGGCCCTCAGCGCCAACAGCTCGCGCTTAATCTCCTCGTAATCCCTCTGCTTCTCCAGCTTCTCCTCCAAGTGTTTAATGATTTTGTTTTTTTGCGTCAAAATCTCCTCGAGTTGTGTGATCTGCGAGCGAATGGCAATGAGTTGAGTGAACAAAAAGTCTCAAAAATCGGATTTAATGTCAAATTTGTTTAATCAACTAATTAGACAGAAAATGTGTGTGCGCGAGAGCACCGGTAGCCTACTATTCGTGCGCTAATGCTATGGCCGCTAATATGTAATTAAAGTTTTACAGCTAATTAACCCATTGCTGGTAATTATAACCCCTCTATTTCTACCATTTGTCACCGAAAATCAATTAAATGAAAGTTTGGTCTTTAACGTCAGGAGTTGTGCCCAAAGTTTTTTGCAGCAAAAGTTTTAGCAATAAGTAGTAAAAGGGATTCATTACCTGAGCAGCGGTAGTCTCTTTGAGTGTTATTATAGTGGACTGCAATCTATGAATGTCATCGACAAGCCGTGAGATCTGTTCCCAAATAGACACAGAGAACAGACATTTGAGTTAATTTTGGTGTTATTTGAGCCCAAAAAAGCAGAAGCGAAAAGAGATGTTAGAGTTTTAGAGGCAAAAAGAGATTGAAAAGTAATTCAAAGAGCATATGAAATGATGCGGACATTGGCGTCAAGTATTAGTAAAGTGGATGCAATAGAGCAAAGCTATCTGTGCTCTCACTTTGCACTGCGATATATGGCTAACACTAACGCAAGCACTGAGTTATACATCACTTCTCGTACGCGGAGATGGAGTGAGAGCTTTGCGGAGCAAATAGTTTGTCATTTCGTTTGGCGTAAGTTTACACCAAATACTGCCGAAAAGCATTGGTGTTTGACATTTGTTTGCGATGTACACTAAGCTACTGGTAATACACTGTAAGTCTCGGAGTGTAAATGTTGTCTTACATGCTGTCTATACACACGCCTAATGCCTAAATGCAGTGTATATTTTGAGTTTAACTCTGGTATGTTTGGCACACAAGTGTGTGGTGTGTATCTTGTGGTGTGTCGGTGAGCGTCGACACCACTGACATCGCAAACACTAACCTCCTTCTCCTTCACCGTCAGTCGGTTCTCGCGATTCTCGGGCAATGAGGTGGTGGTGGATGTGGTGAGACATAACGCGTTGGTCGGCCCCTCTATTGTGGCGGTCGAGTGATTGGAATTATCGTCGGATTCAGACTTTTTCATATTAATCGAAACGTTGTCTTCATTTGTCTTCACTGAAGACTGTTTGAGCAAACAATGAGAATAAATTGGTTTTTGTTATACACAAAAAAATAACATATAATCACTAGTAATGTGTGTAATGGCTCTCAAATATATTTATAGAATTAAGTCAATAAATCACCGAAAATGACACAAATTCTTATCGTTTGATCAGAAAAATTATTTGAAGACATAATACAACAAAAAAGTCGGAAACCGTAAGAATCGCACAAAAAGACAAACACAATATTAAATAAATTGTCGGTTTGTCTACAAATTCTGCGCTAACCATAAGATATAAAGTCTTTGAAGCATTAAATCGTAATCAAATGACATACAAAACGAGGCTAAACAGCACACATACTACACACTAAACACCGTGAATGGAGCACTGGTATGACAAGGGGCTGGTGGTTCGGTATGGTATGTGTGCTCTATTCGATCAAACAATTCTTACATCAAAATTTTTGTCTATCAATTGAGGCTAAATAATGGTAATAATGCTAATACTAATAGATTTTAATAGTCTATAGCGAAACAATATTTAGATTTTCAGGTGGTTTTTGCAAAACTGATTGCCACATATAATTGAGTTATGAGTTGTGTATTTATTTTATCTCAATTCAACTTTTTATTTTATTTCAATATAATATTGTATAATATCTCAGTCAATGTCCTACACTCACTGAGTGGCCCTAAAATACGTACAACGAAATAGTGAACAATACATAATTGAAGTGAAAATTGCAAATAATGACAATCAGGAAAATAAAGTTTATGCGCCAATCGCCGGCCGAATGGCTATTGTAATAAGTCGAGCGATCAAAGCCTATTAAATGGCAATTTTAATGCCAATTTTGATCAGTAAAAAGTCACGATCGAGAGCTGTTAGTGTCATTCAGTGGTGTGACTATTGATGTGGGAAAGTTGGGTAACGGAGAGACCTTTGCTTCTTTGCGGGCATCAAAAGCAATAATTCTGGTACTGTTTCGGGCACTTGTATTATACTGTATACGAGTGCTGTGTATATACTGTATGTGTTTGAGGCGAACATATGGCAGTTTGGTTCTCAACATTACTCTCTCACTCAATGAAACACTTTTCTCTTAAAAACGTTTGGCACACAAAAAAATGGCTCAAAATGTTTGAATATATGACATAACTCATCAGTGTAACAAAAAGAGAGCAATCTCTCTCTCTCTCTCTCTCTCTCTCTCTCTCTCTCTCTCCTTGGCAGTGATGGCCGGCATTTTTGTAGAGCACCCGATCCTTGGCTCGCATACAACCAATGTTGTGGAACGTCAAGAGGCCACTCACCACCGCTACCATCACCACCACTACTCACTCACAGCTCAATAACAATATAATAGCTTTGATAGAGAGCTGACTCTCAGACGGCTCGCAGAATAGAGAGAGAGAGAAAGGGAGAGAGGGATGTGAGACAGGGAGGAGAGTGTGAGTGAGTGAATGACTAGTGACTGAAGTGAATGGAGAGAGAGAGAGAGAGAGAGCTGGCATTGATAGCATGCCATTGCAGTGTTGGTGTGATTTTAGTAGTGCAAGACTTAGACCCCATCACAAGAATTGCATTGCAATACATGCATAGACACGATATTATACAGTATTAATAGTAGAGTGGAATATAATGCGATAAAACAGATATTCAGTGCCCTTCGAGTGCAGTCATAGCCAATATCACATCTATTGGTCTATGCATTGGCTATTAGTATATCCGGTAAGCGATCGCCGCAAAGGCCTGGCATCACATAAAGATTGGCAAAACATATTTCAATATATATTTTATAAGTGAAATAAAGTGTGGAATAAAGCGAAATATAGTGGAATAGCGGTCTCCCTTTCTCCGAGTTTATAATAGTTAATGATTTCCTGGCAATGACACCGTCACGTATGTATTAATACGGCACTTGTATGCCATAAACGGCGGCCTAACGCGCAAACTAGTAGTAGTAGTCTGTGTGGTGTATATATTGAATGAATGGATGCATCGGTCGATCAATTGTTTGGGCGACGACAAAGAAAAGCCAAAATCAAAATCAAGAGTATATTATCATTACATAAGACACTGAGGAATGGCATCGAGAGAGGCAATGGATGCGCTGTGTTATCGTGTATTATACATTCAATACATTCATTACATTCATTATAATAAGTTTTAAGAGCGCACTGTAAGCACACATACAGTACACACACACTGTAAGCACTGTAAGCGTGCCATGAGATCCTATAGGAATTGATGCAGAAATTATTAATGAATAACACATACAATATATTGTTATAAAATAGATATACAAATACTAGAGACAGGATGTGCTGTACGATTCGATTACGGCTCAAATAGTAGTTAAAGTTTTGGGCTTAAAATTGCAGCTCAAGAATAATTTGTTAACAATTGAAAACAATTCAATGGGAATTGAAATGCATGGCTCGCTCATAGACTGACCCTTTCCATAGGCTGTCTCTACACATTTCACATATACTTATAGGCATTCAATTGCATTAGCATTTGAGTGAAAGAGCACTTTATATAACCATTTAATGCGAGTTCGTGTCTGTTTTGAATAAAACTATAAGAGTTAAGGGTTTAACTTGACTTATAGTACGGCACTAATGAGTCTAAACTTTTAAAAACACTGTTATTTTACAATTGCTATTAGATATTAGTATTACTGTTATTTGAAAGTATCGTTCACATCGTTATTAGCGTTTTAAAAGTGAATTTCACCGCAAACTACCAGTTCTTACTTATAACCATCACCAGCAGCGATGGCAATGGCGCTAATGTACCGGTGCTATTGGCACATAAAACATATTTTAAAAACATTTCTTATATAAAATATCGTCCTGTCATCCCATACCCCAAGACTACTCTCACACTCTTATGTAATTTGGGAGAGAAAGAGGGAGAGAGATGTAAAAAATAGTATAATTTGCTCTTAAATTGTAGCTAAATAGTGGTGTTCTTCAGTATGAGTGCTATCACTACAACACATGGAATATCTCTTTGAGTCCATATTTGTTTTGTCGATGAATTTCTAGTTTGTTTTGTCAGTTCAGAGACACTGTATTCACAGCACAAATACCCCAACCGATTGAAACAGAAGAGAAGGAGTTGCCTTCAAATGCGAGAAAATTTAATTTAAAAATTTAAGCTTAACTTCTATGACGTCAGTGGAGAGAGAGAGAGAGAGAGGGAGAGAGAGAGGCTCTCTCTAAACTCAAAATTAATAATCTTTTCATCCCAACAGAAGTTAATTTAAGAGAGAGAGAGAGAGAGAGAGAGAGAGAGAGATGAGAAGGAGAAGAGGGAAAGAAAGGGAGAGTAAAGAAGAGTTTTGTTTTTGTGCAGAAATGCTTTAGTTTTGTCTCTCATTTCTCTTTTTAGTCATAACTCTTAAAAAACGAATTAAAATGTGCTGTTATTTTGTAGTGAGATTTAAAAGTAATTTTATTGCTTCTCCTTACAAGTTATGTGTTGGACTTCATTGGCGACAAAACGAGTGATACGAGAGATAATGCGAATGAAAAATATATGAAAACTTATTCACTGGCGGATGAAGAATACCTTAAATAATGGCAACTTTTTTTCAGGATATGATAAAAGACTAATAATATATCAGTAAATGAGTAGAAAGAGAGTGGAGTGAAGAGTGAATGAGCGAAGAGATAGAATACAATACAGCAGTGACTGTGTTGTGAATAATATAGCAAATGATTATATTTTCGGTTAAATAATTATTATTCGTCTCATCAAAGCCATTGGAAAAAGAAGTCAAACAAAAGGCTCGCTATGTTTTATGGGCTACTGGTGTATACATGCATATAATATGACCATTGTCTCAATGGCTCGGTGTGTGTATGTGTGTGTCGCACAGGCACTGTATGTCTCTCTGTTACGTAAGACAATACATCAAATCTGTAGACAACGCTGTTATTTGCGATGAGCCATAGTATAGAATGCATGCTTGTATGGACTCATATGTATTGGTGGGTATGGCTTACAGTACTAGTCTTGTGTACAGTGAATATTGTGTAATAGTTATCAAAGCTTTACACAAATAAATTAACTTCTGTTGGGATGAAAAGATTATTAATTTTGAGTTTAGAGAGAGCCTCTCTCTCTCTCTCTCCACAATATGCACTGATATATAGTGAGTTGCAGTCTCTCTCTGGAATGCATTATACGGATGAGTGAATATAAAGTTAAACTACGAAAACGTTTAAAAGACATTAAAAGTTTTGCTTCAAAGAGTTAGAGCTATTGAATTGGTGTGGATGTGGAGGCTATGGAGGCATTGGAGGCAATAGCCAACCAAACAGAGCAAATGCAATGCCATAAGTCAACGACTAAAGCCTTATAGCGATAGCTTATGGATGAGTATATCTATGGCTCATAGATGTATAGCTATAGCCCTGCGAGTTGTTAATCGTTATTAAGGGGCGCTGTTATTAAAGCCCAGTTAATGAATATTCATGAGCTAACGAACCCATTGCACACAACTGTTCACTACTATCTGGCAATAGATGTGTCTAAAGACGAGTCAAACTTATGAAATGAACAGATTATTAGAGAAACAAAGACAATACAGAGTTTGGTGTATAGTTGACAATACAATGGCAAAGCCAACCGACCAAACCAACTAAGCCTAGGCTGGGATTAAATGCTATAATACAGAAATGAGGCGTAAGAATCGCTAAATATTAAATACACCACTAAACTTATACATGTTATAACAAACTAATACACCATTTATTAAGCAAAATATAAATATATGAACAAATGGTGACGTTCGGCTAATTGTCATTTAAAGTAAATTATTATTATTATCTAAAGTTCGCCAGAATATTCTGCAATATTACACGGAATATGAGTTCATTATAATATTCTGTACTCAACTATGAAAAAATTAATCTGAAAGGGATTACAGCAAAACAGTGGGCCCAACATCTCTCGACACGAAATCTCATACAAATTGCAAACATCCATTCACTTTAATTAATATTATTCTCGTTTTCTTACAGTGATATTCATTTAAATATAATATTCACTCAAAAGCTAATGTTTTTTGGTTGGGACTCGTCGTTAGTTTCATGTTTTTTTCTCGTCTATTCATTGCCTAATTCAGTGGACCTCTCGTCTCATAATCGGCACAATAAGAGTGCGGTTTGCAGTCATTTAGTGAATCAAATTGAGTAGAAATTTACACAAAAAATCACATATTGTTTTGTTTTGAATTGTGTGCACAATGTGTACAAACAATTTATGCTAATCTTTGCGATCAAACTGCGAAATAACATTTAAAGTCGGAGTCTGTGTTTTTTGAGCGAAATTTTGTGTTCATTTAACTCAAGTAATGGCCATAAAATAAAATGCTTTTATAAATACTTCTTTACCTATACTTATGGTTATATTTAAAACATGTAATGAAGTAGAGAGTGAGTGAATATAAAGTACAGTCGAAGTGATTGTATGGCTATATGTATGGCTTTATTTGTAATCTGAGATCCAGTTTTCAAGTAATTTACTCGACGTTTGCAAATTGTGATGAGGGCTGAGAGAGAGAGAGAGAGAGAGAGAGAGAGAGATGTTGGGCCCACTGTTTTGCTGTAATCCCTTTCAGATTAATTTTTTCATCGTTGAGTACAGAATATTATAATGAACTCATATTCCGTGTAATATCGCAGAATATTCTGGCGAACTTTAGATAGAGAGAGAGAGAGAGAGAGAGAGAGAGAGCTGTGATGGCTCATCCAAATCCAGTATTGAAGACAACATCATTATTTGGCACCAGTCGTCGTACGGCTTGTGCTAAACAAAGCACTTCATAACGTACTGAACGATTAGATTCGTATATAAAAAGAGAGACGAATAGGAAATATAGCCTACAATTAGAGCCAAAGAATATTCAGATACAGTCCTCTAATATTACATTTGATTATAATTTAGGATATATTATAATGATTGCAATCATAATCAACGGAAAGGCAGTGGAAAAAGAGGTGCAATCATCAAGAAAGTGGGTGGGATTGTAGGCCATTGATGGCACACACATACGCGCACACAGGCCTGGGATGTGAAGAATTGCCATTCAATTCATTGATAATTCTGGCAAAGATTATTACGTGAATATAAAAAGAGGGGATATATTAAAAAAGTCTATTATATAAGTCTTGTCATTAAATACTATCAAAAAATGGTCACAACTATAATGGGAGCGCATTATTGAATACCATTAATATATGATATTATGTTATGATTGTTGAAAAGCTATAGATATAATCAACTCCTATATGACATCAATTTCTACTCT